GAGCCAAAGACAAAGCTTAATCTAAAGTACTTTTAGTATTTTTTTGAAGTTGAACGAACAACCCTGCTCAGCAAGCATGTCTTAATTTTCACCTTTTAAATTATTTTATCTTCTTCTTTTGTTGTTTATTAACTGGAGAAAGAATGTTTTAATAAAATTGCAAGTGAAAACACTCACAGGATTTGCTTTAAAAAATAATGCGACTTCTGTAGCATGCAGCATAGTACAGAGACCGTACCATGGCACAGCTGGACCTGTTCTTATATTTACATGCATACTTTGCAGGTAATTGTGTGCTTCAGTTCTGTTTTTCTGTGTGGATTGTGTCACTGTTTCAGATAAACACAGGAGGAGGATGTGCAAGTATGCATAACTAATGTGAAAATAAGCCATTCTTCAGTTTGAAGCCGACCTTGTTCTATTCTGAAGTAATTTCTTCCTTCTTTAGGTGGAAGGTACAGGAACCTTTTCTGTTAACTTTGTAAAGGCTTCCATGGACAGGTAGAGGGTGCCAAGCGGATATTTTAAGGAAATGGGAGGGGAGAAGCAGGGGGGGGGAAACACCGACCAAAAAACATATCCAAACAAAACCGGGTCATCTATACATTGAGTTATCGCCTCATTATGTCTCTCTGACTGTAAAAAAAGGCACAGTTGCATAATATAGTTGCAGACCATTTTACTATGGATACCTGCAGTTAGGTGAGACAGGTGCCATCTCTGTGACCAAAGTAACCCTTCAGAAGGAAGTCTGCAATGCATAATGAAGCCCTGCAGATTTAAGACTTTCGTGTGCAGCAAGAAAAAGCTCTTTTGAAGTGGCACACAAAGTAATAACTGTAGAAATGTCAGAGCTGAGAGAGAGGAGACAGTGTGGAGTGAGGTGAACTGCAGCAGGTAGGGTGTGCTCTGTTAACCTTTTGCTCGTAGTGATGATCAGAAGCTTAAAGATATAAGATGAAGATTCAGGAAAAGATCCTTTCCTCATTGAATTTCAGGAATTCAGTGTTTAAGGAAGAGATCCAGCAAGAGGAGTGATATGAACAAAGCAAATTAATAAGTACAGCAGCTTACCTGAATTGATGAATGAAGTGTGAGGGTTTTGGAGAAGCCTGAGGGCAGGAGGCTGTACTACTAGTCAGACAGTATACAAGGTAGATTTGAAGAACAGAATTTGCTGTTGTGATGAAAGGAGATGAGGATGTAGGAGAGAAGGAAGTGGAGAGGTTTTAACTATGCCTGAAGAATTCAGGTCAGGGGGAAAAAGTCAAAAATAGCATGTGACAGGAAGAGAGAAGTGGTAGGAAAAAACTGGGAGGGAAGTAGGTTACATGCAACACGGTTTTATAGGGACTTCTGTAAGAACTTCTTTTGTTTCACTTTCTGGTTTCCAGTGGTACATCTGTTGGCCTAGTTGTTGACTCGGAAAACTTTACTAGACGCATATCTGAAGGGGAACGTGCATAAGTTATGATCTCATTAATGTCTGTGAAAAGGAGTGTGCTCGCTTGGTTAGTGCAGGGAACTGGATCTCTTAAGCTCTTCCACTGACTTACCAAGCCTCGAGGGCTGGCAGGAGGAATGCTAACTCCTCTTTTACCCCAGAGTGGGGCAGGGAGGCTCTGCTAACACCTGAAGTGTGCTTTGGAACAAGTCAGCTATCTCCTATATTTCACTTCTAGCCAAACGTTTGGTTCAATATGGATTAACTTACCATATATCTTTTTTTTTCTCTTCCAGTTACTATTTCTTCAACTGCAGAAAAAGGTAATTTTTTTTTCAAATATGTGAATAGTTTTGTTGCATGCAAGCCTTAAGAGACATAGAATTTATATGTACTCCTTTATGTGTAAGCTCTGTGAGGTGAGTAGATTAGTGCTAAGAAACAAGGTAAATATTGTGAGGTAGAGTGGTTAGTTTCTAGTGCCACAAGCTTGGGATGATGACAAGACTGTGAGTAACACAACTATGATTTAGGTTTGCAAATATTTTTAAATGGGTACCTTCTTCGAACGGGAAAAGATGAAAAGAGAAGGAACTGCAGCAGATCCCCAAGTCCATTTTCTGTTTATTCCTGAACACACCCTGTGACCTGAAAGAGGAAGAACTGTTGTTCTACTGATTGCTCTTTACCAGACAGCTTACCAAATTCCTCAGAACCCCATTCTTTAGGAGTGGTTAGAACTGTGCAAAACATAACCATGTCAAATGTGGCTGGACGTTATAATTTGAAATTTCCAGGTCAAGTGGTTAAGGCCTTGTTTTTGACAAACTTACTTAAGTTTTTGTATTGGCTTTGGAAAGTGTATGCCACATACTTAAGAGATACAGACTGACAAAAAGAATTCCAGCATTCTTGCTCTGCCACTTCTTTTATGAACAAAAACTAGTCTAAAGAGTTACTCTGTTCCGGAAGTTCAACAGATGGGGGTTTTTTAATAGAACTTTCTCCCCCCCGCCCCTGAGAAATATAAATTATTGATGGGATATTTGTTTGGGAGTTCATTTCAGCTTATGGGGGCACATGATTATGCAGAGATTTCCATTTTGACTGCCCACAGGAAGGGGTGTCTTGAGAGTATGGGACCACTGGTAAGAGGCTCTCATCTCTTAAGTATTTTTGCAAAAAAAAAAAAAAAAAAATATTTGGAGCTAATCTAGCGGTTTTCTTCCTGGTGGGGAGCATCCAGGAGAACACTGTGAAAGGAAAGGAAGGAACCTTGATGGAATCTGCCCTGTTTCATCTTCTAACGAAGGGGTGAAAGGGTGGAGAAAATCTCCAGGATAAACTGTAAGCTGTTCCAGATGAGAGCTGCACCTTACCCTGGATTTTTACATCACATTGCCTGTCTGGGCTTCATCTAGGCTAAGCAAGGTCCACGTCTCGGTTGAGGAAGCCTGGCAGAGCAATGATGCTGGTGTTGCATAGTCAGATCTCTGGCACTAATACAAATGTGGTGCCGGTCTGACTGAAGCAGGTGCTCTTAAATCTACCCAAGAAGAAAAATGCTTTTAATAGCTGTCACCTGCATGCTTCTTGCACTTTCAATTCTAAAGCATGTCATAGGCATACCATATGCATGAATTTCTTTACCATGGAGGTTGATCAAAATGAGATGTGAAGTCTTTTTTTCACTTGAAATGAAAGCTATCATAAATTTTATAAAGTTCTTATAAGCTAACTTGCAATAGCCAGGAAATAACATCAGATGACTGAAAGGGCCAAAGTACCAGTAACATTGTCACGTAAATCGATAATGTGCATCTTGGCAAATAATTTTGCTCCATATTTCAGGGTATTGTGTTCAAATCCTTTTATGCCAGTACTTAATTACAACTTTTTATTAAATTAGTGGTGATTTCTTCACCCTATTAAAGCTAACTGTTTCTTTGTAATTTCATATTCTTGTCTAGATTTATATCCATTAGGATAGAGGAATAAAGTCAACTCTGAATCTCTTTTAACAATATAATATACTTTTGTTATATATTATTACCTCTCTGTAATCTGGCTCTGTCTTGGAAGTATTAAGAATGATTTCAGAAAAGCATGTTAAGGGCAAATCTTAGGAGGGCTTAGCATATTTTAAAAGGATTTGGAGAGCGTATCTTAAGACATTATCCTCCTGAGAACATAAATTATAGTCTAATATGCATCAGTGCCTTTAAAGAGAAATGACTTCGCTTGGTCGCAGCATGGCAGCGAGAATCCTGGGTTTCCTTAGCTTAGCCAGGACTTCCTCACGCCTCTGAGTCTGGTTAAACTGGCAGATATTGAGGTTTGAGGTTTTTGATGTCTCTTCCATCTAGATTATAATTACAAGAAAATGAGCTGAATAGGAATGAGGCTGGCTTATATTTGTGCTGGAAATTGATGCAAGATGCTTCAGGGAGTAGTCAGCAGAGGAGACAGTGCTACCCAAAACCAGTGGGTAGATGGACTGACAAAGTAAAGCCATCAAAAATGGTATCTTCCCTCCCTCTCATTTCTTGGGGAGCACTAACAGGACAGATACCTGTAATCACAGTAGGAATGGCAGCATGGGAGTGGGAAAAGAAGCAAGAATTTATTCAGTACAAGGCCAGTATAGATTGCCAACTGAAGGCTCTTTCTCCTCTAGACTGAGTGGTGCCCATCACTGGAACAGCTGTGAAAGTCTTGCTCTTCCTTGAGTTGCCCCAGTTTGGCTCCTGAGGACAGGCCTTTGGCTTTTAATGACGGTGACAGATTGCAAGATATCAGTTATTGCAAGGGTGCAAGAGCACTTTAACAACTGCCGCTTTCTAGTATGTACTGGTAGCACTGGCACAGATTTGCACCCTTGCTGCAGCCAGCTTTTGTGCCTGTTACTCTTGTGTGATGTTGGGGCATTTACAGCCTGCGGCAAGACTTTGAGGTTCTGCTGTTTGAAGTATGGTGTGTGCACTGAAAATAATCTTTCAAAATAATCTGAATTCTGGGGGTGACTTTTATGGACAGAATAGAACTGTTTACTGTGTAAGTTAGTTTTGCTGTGCCCTGCCCTCCCCTGTACCTCATTTCCTCTTTCCTTCTATTCAACTCCTCTCACCCTCTTCTCTCCCAAAGCTCTGATCTGTGCAGCTGATTCCACTTGAATTTTGTGGAATTAGTTTCTCCTTTCCAAACCATTTTCTAATGCTTTAATTGCTTAACCACATTATGTTTGAATGTGTATAGTATGTTTTTAATAAAAGACAATTTCTAGTTATGCAGTGTCTGCTACAGTGATGCATGAGTTTTTTCCTATCAGGGTGACAATTTTAGGACGGCTTTAGAAAAAAGTTTTGCTTCTTGCATTTTCACTCAGCTCCACAGCTGAAAATTTGCTAAATCTGTCTGTAAGGTTGGAGGAGTCAGAGGCAAAGGTAAAAAGCATAATTCTCTGAAGAAAGCTCAAATACAGTTTGTTTGGGTTTTTTACTGCAACAAGCAATGAAAATCCTGAAAGATGATCAATTAAGACCACGTGCACAAGCATTTTCTGAGCTGTTGGAAGTTCCCAGAGTTTCGAGCCTGTTCTGCAATCCATAAAGTATGCCATACAGCTTCTTAAAGGACTCTTTATGTGCACAGGAAAGTAGGTCAAGTTTCCTTCTTCCTGCAACTGAAGAAAATAACGTAAATATTTAGTATGACTTCTTTTCTAAGGCTTGCTGTTCTGGCAGGACTGATCGGTTTCCTCTTTACAAGTGGTAAAAGAAACTGTTAGAGGAAAACAAGTTTGGAAGAAGCTTCCTCAGTCATAAGGTCTGGGTCTCTGGCCTTTAAGACAACCCTATCAACACAGGCCCATTCATAAATTGGTTGAGCTCCCTACTAAAGCCACCCACATTTTGTTGTCACTGTGACTATGATAGCAGGACTCTTCCAGATTATATTCCTCTCATGATTAGAAAGAAGATAATCGGACAATTTTTAGCTCAACACCTAGCTGTCATCTTGGAGTGCAGTCTTCTCCAAACCCGCGGTTTAGAATTTTATTGTTATTGATGACCAGTGCCTTATACAATGGTACAATACTGTGCTGTTTCTAGAAGTAGAAATTAAATTGAATTCTGTAGGTCAGGTATCAAATACTTTACTGTAATCTGGAACAGAATTGTAGCATCTTCTTTATCCAAAAAGGTTAGTCACACGCCACAGGTGAAGCTGTGTTCAGTTCTGGGTTTTTTGGTTGGTTGTTTTTTTTTTCCTGTCAAAGTCTGTTTTGGAATCGTACATAAAAGCATATGATTTCCTTGAGGAATAGCAGCTATCACATTTGGGTTTTTGGGGGGTTTGGTTTGGGTTTTTTGAGTGAGCACTCCTAGAGTGCTAAGTCTACCCATGGAAAAGGGTTTAATATAATTTAATTTTATCAGATTATTCATAGCATAGTAGTTTAGCCCTCATCAAAGATCAGGAATTTTATTCCTTGTTCTTTTCAGCTATATTCACCGAACTCTTATTTGTATTTTATTGCAGTTGTCTACCTTGTGGTTTTTCATCTGTCATTTGTCATGTTTGTATGGTCCTATTGGAAGACAATTTTCACGTGTCCTGCATCCCCCTCTAATGAGGTAAATATAACGTTAGAAAAATGTCAGTGCCTTTTTTATAAATAGCTGAACTGTTTGCAGTGATGAAACTTGTTAGCAGCACTGCATGATTCACCTTTCCCTTCTCATTATCTAAAATAGAACAGCATGACAGTGTATCATGAATGAAAATTATCAAGTTACTCCTAAAATACTGTATATTTTGTGTAATGACATTTCCTTATACAAAATGTGCATTTAATTAATCACAAGTTTGACAGTCATGTACAGCACTTTGCTAAGAAGTTTCTTGCTTGAAACCTGGAATTTTTAAAACCAATAAATCAAATGCAGTGACAACATTTTTATATTTCCATTTTAGGCAGTTTTGATCTCTGGGTAAGAAAAAGTAACGATGTAATGTATACTCTAACTTGGAGGACTGAACTGTGTAGTAGTAAGTCAAGGGTTAAGGTTTAGGGACAATTGAGAAGTGAATACATAAAGGAGCTTTATATAATGGCAGAAGAATGCACGATGACTGTAAGAAGTTTTGTTTTGAAAAAGAACAGTATTAATTGCAATAAGCCTGAGATGGATTACCTTCTTTTCTGTAAGGTGTGTGTATGTAAGGATTAAATACTGGCACTGAACTTAAAATACTTCCCTTCCCTTCCTTGGTTTTATAAAGCTTTTAAATTGGCTAAACTGTTTGAGGCTCTGGTTGCTCTATGGGGGTTGAATTTTTGTTCTTTTTTTGGCAAGACTGACTTTCAGTGCTAATGTCAAACGTTTATTTTTGAAAAAAGTTAAAACCATGCTTCTAAGGAAAAGCAAACACTGCTCTGCAGTGCTTAATTATGGCTTAGAGATCTGTATCTTAAAGCTACAGAATAGAAAGTGAAAAAAGCTAAAGCCTATTCTGCAGTTTAGCTAAACAAAGAGAGTAGTACTGAATTGTTAAACCTAAAAATTCAAAGAGCCTTGTCTTCAGCATGGTTTGCTTTGGCTTTATTTGGAATGATTTTGCAAGAAAATGATAAAGTTAAGCAGGTTAGTGCATTAAAATGTGGTTGGAACTGTGTTATTCCAGGTTTTGTAAACCTATATGAACTAGAGCTGCTCATAGAGGTAAACCCTAGTAACTTTTACTGTCTGCTTGGATTCTTCGATAATAGAAAACTTCTTCTGACAGTACTTAGCCTGTAGTTATAGTAATGTTGTAACAAGCTTTTCATATTCAGAGAGTGAAAGGGATGGTGCGGGCATATGTCATGTAATGAGTATTTCCTATATCAAGTTTGGGGATAGATCAGATTTAATACAATTTTCTTCTACAGCTAGTGTTAAAAAGAAAAAGAAAAAAAAAAAGCCTCACCACCACAGCAACAAAAAAACACCCCAAAAAATGACAAAAACCAACTAAACAAAAAAAGAACACCACCACTTTTCTCTCTCTGGGCAAGTCCCTTCTGCTCATGTACCAGTGAGTAATTTATGCTGGTTGTACTTAAAAACAAAGCCTGACTTCAGAATCTCCCCATTGTATGACAGTGTAAACGTATATATTTTTAGTCATTCAAATTAGCCATTCTTGCAAAACAAATGGCATCCTGTGATCTTACTATTGAACTAAAAAAAGATTCTGCAGCTGCTGTTGTCTTAGTGTAATCCCTGTACATTTGTCATAATAAAGAACAATCAACATACAAGATCCAGAAAGAGGAAGGAAACAAAGGGACTCTTTCTGTTTTCAATAAGGACTGCTGGAACCTCATTGGAAATTCTGTTAGCTGTGTGGTAACAGACAACTTTTGATGTCTTTGAACATATCCTGCCATTGTCCAAAGAGACTGTGGTCTCATGGCCCTATTAATTTCTGTAATTAGAACAGAAATGCAGCTCTCCAAAAAAACAAAATCCTATCCAGGATTTTTGGAGTATTATTATGAAGTTACTTGGAAAATTTAAAAACATTTAAATCTTGTGATTTAGTTCCTTTTCTGTGCATTAATGGTTTGCCATAGAAATGTCATCTAGAAGTAGTATTTCATGTTCAGTGCAACCTCTGCATGATTGCAGGTCATGGAGACAGGCATTGGGTCACCTAGCAGACTCACAAGAGCACTAGGGAGGAAGGCAGGCATGTTGCATCACTATTTGCTGGCATGATGCTTCAGATCTGTCTTAAACTTTTGATGTGAGCATCTCCAGTTTTCATATTTGAGTAAATATCTAAGAGACTTAAGATTTAAAAATGAGGTCAAGCTCTTGGTGGTGACTGAAATGTTAAACTTTAATTTCACCTTTTGCATAGATTAATCCTAGTTTCTGATTATTTAAAAGGGGATTATATTTCATGTTTCACCCTTGAATAGTGGGTGGGCTCAGTAACTGAGATGATACTATATGTAACAGTTCACTTAACTAGATTCTGTGAGATACGAGGCAACTTGTTTGCATTCTGGGCTAGGAAATAACAGAAATTGCAGCAATGTCTTACTGCTTCCTCCTTTCTGTAAGTGGAGTCTTCATTGTTGCTTGCCAACTGACTGTAATCCAAAAGAGAAGTACAGGAGAGGAAAATCCATGTGAACTAATCATATACATGTTCTCGGTAGGAAAATATGGTCATATTAAACCACACTAAGCCAACTTTTGTTCCAGCTGCACACACAGCATTTTCCACTCACTACCATGAATACTTTGTCTATGTGTGCTCATTAAAAGGGCTCTTGTAGTCCATGCAGGAAGCTCAGAGCTTAAGTGCTTCAGAACAGAAAATACCAAAGGAAATTGTGAGTTCAGCCCCCACTCCTCAGGGGCTTGTCAGCACACTGGGTTTTGTGGGGCTTAATGGTAAAGCTCATGATTTCAGCGGATACCAAACGAAATGTTTCTCAAGTGAGTGAAAGCTGTCCAGGTTCTTCCGGTAGAGCTTTACATTTCAGTGGGTCTTCAACAGGAATGCTCCTCATGCTTTACTCAGAATTGTAAGTCTTTCAAACTGTACAGGCTTTGCTGAAGTTGCTGTCAATACAGCTCATGGATTTTGATACTAGCGCTGTAAAAATTGAACTTCTGGGCTGAGGCAATTCTCCTCCCCCCCACCTCTGGTTTGTGCCCTTCGAAGTCAGAGAGAGGAAGTAGGCTAAGAGAACTTCAGTGCCCTGTGGCAGCAAAGGTTTGTTGCACCTTCCTCTCGTTCACAGGCCACTTAATTTACTCTTATCAGGACTTAAAGGAAAGGTTGTGCCTTCTTAAAACTTTGCTGAGTCTCTGCCTTCCTTTGTGTTGAAGGGAGAATGCTATAGATAGTGGAACAGAGATAAAGATTATTTTCTTTAAAATACGCCCAGGGACCATCATGAGTTTTAAGGATCTCCTGTAATTCCTATAGCGTTCTTTTTTTCTTCATGTGGGTTTTTTGGGTTGATGGGTGGGGGTTGTCCAAAGACATAGGCTTAAGATACATAGAGTTTTTCCCTTGGAGCATGACTAGAACACAAAGTAATAATAAATCTCTTCCCTTCATTCCATTTTCTTCCTCCCTCCTAGTTCTGCTTGTCAAAAGCTGATAAAGAACAATATGAAAAAGAAGAGAGACCAGAATCCCAGCAGGAGATTTTGAGAAGAGCTGCTAAAGACTTGCCTATCTATACGACAACAGCATCGAGAGGTGAGTTATAAAGATGATTCTGTGCTCCTGAAGCTGATAGTTTAATTCCGTGAAAATCATTTGATGTCACTGAATGAACAATCTATTAAGCACATATTGCAGAGGCCATGACCTTGTTTTGTTATTTGTTTGTGCTGGGTTTTTTTCCATCAAGAGAAACTGGAGTCCTTTGTCTGGGGATCTCAACATGTAGCCAGTATTTGAATTAAGGAAAAAAAAAAAATCCTTTTCTAGCAAGCAGATAGATGACAACATTTATCTCTAATTGTGGCTATAAAAAATAAACATAGCAAAGAAATAGAGCTAATACAGCTAGAAATAGAGACAAATAAACCTTTTACTCGATTTTATAATAATTTATATACCCCTTTTAAAGTTCTTTTTTCTTAGCTGTATCAGTTTAGCAGGAGGAGAAACATCATATTTAAGGCTAGAATTTAAGAACGAATGTTGTTTCATTCCCATCTGTAATTCAGTACAAAGCTAGTTATGGGCTATTTCTGTATTTGCCTTTAATACGTATAGGCATTTTTATTCCAACTTGCATATGAACGATCTGTGAAACTGCTGCCTTATACATATGTATATTCTTTTTAAAATCTAGCTTTTATATGTATGTATATGTTTCTCTTTCTTGAAACTAGGAAACTTGTGGAGTTCTCCAAAAACACAAACTACTCCTAATAACTGTTACCAAAGTTTACTATGCCTTTGCAAACAAAGTCTAAGGACACCTGTTTTCTTGAATACAAGCCTCCCTTTAAGGGAATCCCAGTCTTAAGTTTCCTGGAGTGGTCTGGGAAGCTCTTGCCAGCTCTTAGCAGTTCTGCTTTCCTCCTCCTTTCAAACTGCCTGTACTGGTATCTTATTTCCATTGAGAAGAGCCTGAAGGCTTGCTTAAAAATATCCAGGAAAGATGAGGAAGAGCTGATTTACTGAACAGTCTGCTAGTTCACTATTTCCTGAAGAGGATAGAGAAAGCTAATGCAGAAGGCTGGCCTGCTGAAAGAATGTAGTTTCACAATGGGATGCTCAAGTACTCTGTCCAGAGGTAAAAGCAAGCGGTAGGGGATCAGTGCCAGAGGATGAAGATGGGAAGACTGGGGAGCAAAAGAGTAAATGGAAATGGACTCAGTACAGTAGTAATAGATCAAAGTGTTTTGAATACTTCCATATGTTACATTTCTTAAAAAAATCAAAAAGTACGTATCATATGAGAGGCACATCAAGGTCTGGGAGAACAGGTGTGGCAGGGGAGGGCAGGAAGGTCTTTAAGATTCAGTTCATGTTAAGGGGGAAAACCTTTGTAAAATTAAATGAGTTCTAATGACTTGACCCTTGCCCCTTGAATGCAGCAATCAGATACTGTGATCGATGCCAGCTAATCAAACCTGACCGCTGCCACCACTGTTCTGCATGTGACATGTAAGTTATTGAATCTGAATTGATGGATTTTCTCTCTCCTGTGATCATCACTTTAGTGTGTTCATGTATTCAGTGTGTCAGCCCGTGCATAACAGCACGTTTTACTATTTGTTCCTCTCTCGGACCCTCAATCCCTGAATTTCATGAAAGAGCAAAGTTCCTCCTGTTGGTGCAGTATTGTTACTGCAGCCCCATTGTCCAAAGTGGCAGAACTTTTTTAGGAAACCTGCTTGTAGCTTTGTAAAAGAGTGATAATGTTAAACAAAAATAAAGAAATTAAAATCAGTGATTGAAAATAAAGACAGACAGGTCTGAGATACCAGCACCAGCAAATAATTATAGAACTCTCTTATTGTATCTTGCTTCTGCAGCCTTGAAATAGATGCATGTTACTAATAATGATAAAAATCTATCTGAACAGTTGACAGTGGACTGGCATGCCTTAACCATTTCAAAGACATCACTGCTATTCCCTAGCTTCATTCTGAATCATCAGACAAGTCTGTAAGGGTGCTAAAGACTGAGGCTGTGAGTGAGACTTCAGTAGGCTGAGCTCGAGGAAATGTAGGTAACTGAAGAAGCTAAAATTTTGGCTAAAATCACATTTATTAGCAAATACCGTGAATGGCTATGTGTCTGAAATACCTAGTATCCATCCTTATACCAAAACTGGATGAAAATGGCATGTGGACTACTCAAATTACCCACTGTGCTGCTCTTTTCCTCAGCTTTAAAAAACAACCAAGCAAGCAGCAAACAAAAAAGGTAGCAACAATAGCCCTATGGTAGACGTAGTTGAAGTGAATGCCAGGCTAACAAACCTTATCCACACAAATCTGAAGGGTCCTTTGGATTTGTTTTCTCTCAGTGTGCCCATAAAACTAGTACAGGTTAATGAACTATTATATAGTGTTGCTCAGTAATGCTCCCCATGTTAATTTAGGAGACTCTTCGTAACTCTTCTGAATCTTATTTGGTCCCTTTGGGTGAAAGGATGGCTGCTATAATACAGGGAATTGGCATGATTGAGAGGGACTTGAAAAAGAGACAGTGGGACAAAATACTTTAAAACACAAACAAAAACACCAACACCCAAACCTGTAGAAGCTGAAAGTATAGGTCTTAGAAAGAAAATCTATTTTTTGCTTTAACTTATTGGAAATTCTCTTTCAGATGTGTGCTAAAAATGGACCACCACTGTCCATGGTAAGTTTATAAAAAAACAAACAAAAAAAGATCAGTATAATGAGTTAGATCCTACATGATGAATTAGATGCTGCTTCAAAAATGCGTCTTTGAAGTAAAATTTGATTTTCACAGAACTTATTGACACTTTAATATGTAAAAATAAATCTTGTTCCCAATGTGTGTTGCAGCATCGAGTTATAGGCCCAGTAGCCCAAATCATGCAGTCTCTCCTTGTATAGAGAAACCCTGGCATTAACGAGACACATGAGAAATGGCATTTATTTCTGTTGTTACCGGGAAAGGTGACACCCACTACACCGTGAAAATCAGTTCTTGGTTCTGGGTGGAACATTAGACCCACTCAGACAGTTACTCTTCTGCAGTTTGTATTCACTGGTAGTCAGTAAAAGTACTGTTTGCTGTCACTACACAAATACTGCAATCAGTAGTTGGCTTGAAGGTGGGTTTGTAACCAAAGCAACATCCACTGAAATTGATAGAGAGGCTTGTATTCTCTTCTGCGATGACTTCAGCTAGTTCATGGTGTGTGAGATGCTTCCTATACAGACTGTATGTATTGTACGCTTTGCCAGCTCTTGTCCTGTCCTGTAGAACTTTGTGGGGGGCAAAATTTATGTGAGGGGCCCAGATCATTTGGCCTGAGGAAAGAGACTTAATTCAAAATGGTGGCTTAAAATGCTTCTGAAACACTAGTGCCAGACTGTTTGGGACACACCACTGACATCGTACGCATGTTATGCTCTGCAAAAGCTCAATGTATTGTTTTTTATTTTATTTTATTTTATTTTTTGTATATCATAGTAACCTCTTTTTCTTTCCCCTCCTTCTAGGGTGAATAATTGTGTGGGATTTTCTAACTACAAATTCTTCCTCCTGTTTTTAATGTATTCCTTACTGTACTGTCTGTTTGTTGCTGCTACAGTCTTGCAGTACTTCATAGAGTTTTGGACAGTAAGTTCTAAGGCTTTTTTTTGTTTTGTTCATTTGTTTAATCCTGCATGTGTTATTGGAGACTGCATCAGCATGTTGTCACTCACTATTTACTCTGTTCCATAGTTCATTACTATTAACAGCATCAATCGAAGCAGGAGAACCTTCTGAATATTAATGAATTAAATTTATTAACACTTCCCAGGATGAGTAACTGGGAGAGGAAGTTCCAGTGAGGACACTGTGCAATTTCTCTGCTCCATCAAAATCAAGTGTACAGCTCAGGGGGTTTTGAGACTATTGGTTATAGATATCTAGATATAGAAAAAACTGGCTATTTCAAACAATTGCATATATATGTATGTGTGTGTATATACACATACACACTCTTATATAAAAATACTGACAAATGTGAAATACAAACAAAAATTTTGTATCTTCTAGACTTGTCTATGGATAATCTGCTACCAGATAAGGCAAATTAATTTCTTGGGAACTGACCGAGCCCCGTTTTGGAGTCCCTACATAGGAGAGTCTGACCTTCATGCTAGTGGCTTTTATCGATCTGATATGCATAGAATGCCAAGATATGTACAGTGTTAATGATACACACCTTCCTTGCAACTATTATCAGTTGTCAGATGATCAATATGCATATGTGCATCTTAGTAGTAGATTTAATAACGTTTATGTGACGGGCAACCATTCTTGCATGTCTGTTCCTCCTATCAGTTTTGTTCCAGTCACATTCCAGGCTGAACAGTGTCTTCTGGTGTTGTTCCTTTTCATCTCCAAAACCTTGTACTGTGCCTTCCTGTCTAGACAAAAGAGGTAGTGTCAGAATTCCCTTAATCAGTTTCCATTAACTAACATGGGAAAAATCACTGTAAGTGGAAGGCTGTCCGTCACATCTTTAGAAGTAAATAACAGCACATACTTCTTAGATGCCACTTGCTGTCAGAGTAACTGGGAAAAGCACTTATTATCTGTAGCTGTAGAACTAATCTGTTGGCGCAAAAAGATGTTGCTATGTCAGGGTAAGAGAAGCTTGATCATGTATTCAGAATAGCTGTACTTTGGGACAGTTGACATTAGACAGGCAAGATGAATGGTACAAAAAGTATGTTTGTTTATCTAAGCCCATGGGTCTGATCTGCCAAAGTACTCTTAGTCTGTCAGTTGTGCATAGTGGCCTGTCACTGGAGAGCAAGGAACGATGTGGGAATTGAGCTGTCAGTATTGTGTGAGATGAAAGCCATAAATGTATTTATCAGTCATAGCTGTGGCTTGACAGATATTTCAGATGAAATGATCTGATTCTGCTGTTCAGTCTTGCTTGACTGTAAATAGTTAAATTTTTAATTTGTGAATGTGCCACTCCCAAACATCTGCCTGGCTGCTTTCCAGTGCTTTGTAAACAAATTCTAATGAAACTGTAGATGCGCTCCTACTTATTTACCAGTCAGTGCTTCAGCAAAAAAATTATTTGCTTTGTCACCTCACATCATAAGTGTTAGTGTAACAACAGTCCACAGGACATCTGACCACAATGAGCATTTAATACAAGCATTTGCATCAAGGCTTTTCCAAAGCCCTTCGGACACAATATTGAAGTGGACCCTTGAGCAGAGGAAGTGAACTTAAGAGGGATATTTTTATTATTATTATTTTCAATTATTTCATTGTTAAAAATGCTTCCTGCAAGAACGAGCTACTTCTGAAATGTGACAGTAGACAATGTAGTTGTGTACTTGCACTCGTTGCTTTCCTTTCCAGTTACTTCCCAGACAGCATCTGGTGGTGATGCCCTGATCTTATCATTAGAGTAGGTCTCTGACTTCTTTACTCATGTTAAACCACTCATTCCACAAAGCTAGTATTCCTCTGGTCTTCTAATAGCCTGATTAAAGTAGACTTCCAGAAAGTGGTGGCAGCACCATAATCACATAAGCTGGCAAAATGTGGTATGTCTCTAGCATGTAAGCTTTTAGGCGAGTGCTGTTGACTGCAGAATAGAGTCCCGGAAGCTTCTCTCTACATGTGTATCCAGGTCAGAGCGGAGTACTGCTGACACGCGCTGTCTGTGGACTGCTTCAGTATGTTGCTGATGCTCAGCTTTGTCTGCTATGGCGTCAGACAGATTACTGTTTTGACATTTTCTGTTGAGGTTCTCTAGATGTTGGGGTTTTCCCCCCAAAGCCTGACTATCAGAAATGTTACAGTATACCTTCAGAAGGTAGCATTTCTTTTTGGCTTCCTTATAGATGTTTTTCAGAGAAAGCGTGCAACAAACTGCTGTATATATCCAGTGTTGGGGTGGAAAAAGAACTGCTTCTTGGGGAGTGTAGCCTTCGTCACTTCAGACCTTGTAGTATTGAGATTGTGAAGGTGTATGTGGTAACCACACAAATTTTAGCAATTAATTGTTTTGCACTGTTGATAATACTTTCGCAGAGACATGACACACGTATGCAGATACTTGCAAACATTGTGAGACACACACACCTACCTGACTCTTCTGTTGAAGAAAGTTTGTGTTTCCCACTTGCACATGCCAGACTTTCACACAGCATCTTTCATGCTTTATGCAGAAGTGCTGAAGAAGGTTCTTGATACTGTTCATACAGTGATGGAACAGCTGCACTGGCTGTAAATGTTCACCACAGGCTTATACACTGATGCAGATGTTAAAATGTGTTCTGTAGATCAAGGGAACATGAATGACTCCTTTCTTTATACTCATCACTACTTTTCCTGTACTCATGAATTTTTTATTTCTCCCTAGGAAATAGTTAAAGATGAGCAGGTAAAACCTCATTTAATCCAAATGTATTTGACTCAAACATCCTGGATGCCTTGTTAACATAGTACATGGTGGTACTGCCCCGTGTATATTTTTATCTACTCTCATTCTTGCTGCACTCCCTCCCCCTTGAAACCTGCATATTTTCCAGCTGTTTTCAGTGTCTTTTATTGTCCTCCAAATTATTTTGGCAATTATTAGTATAGCTAATTCAAGGATGTGATATGTGTTCCAGGTAGATGGCACATATTTCTGCAAAACCGTGGTGTATTAACAACAACAAAAAAGGAGCAATTCCAGATCCTTAGTTAGAACTGGTTACTCTTGCATATACACATAACGACATATACCAGATCTTCTGAGTTCTTCTAGATTTAAGCTAGACCTAGCTACTAAAAGATGAGTAATGAGTCAAGTTCTGACAGCATTTTTTCATGGGTGTTGCTGGGGTTTTTTATGACCTGATACATGCTCAAATGACTCTACGCTTGTGAAGGAGTTTGTAGGGGACTCTTAGAATAGCCACTGGCTTCAGCCTATTATGTATGCTAAGTAGCCCAAACTGTATTGTGCAAATTGCTTCCTTTTGTAAGCTGTGCAAGTCTGTTTCTGTGCTGCTGCCGAGCATAATGATTTTAAATAACTAATGTGTGAAGTTTCACTCTTTTCACATGCTGTGGCATGTGGACTGCTGACTGAACAAGCCTGTTACACGCACTCAAAGCCTGCGTGCTTCTCTCCAGAAAGGAATTGGCCTTTTTTGAAAGATGCTTCAGTTCTGCAACTGTCATTCAAGAACTTAGAACCAGTGGTTTAAACTGGGTAGTCAGAAGAGGTAAATGCTCCCTGGGGATCATGCAGATTAATCGTGCGTAATTCAAAAAATCCTTCTCCAGCTTATAAAACTACTGTTTTAGGAAGATGCAACTGAAAAAAACCTTGTATTTTCTGGCCCACAGAAAACACAGAGACTAAGCTGCTACCACTCTTTGAGCTTCAATATCAACTGGCCTGAAAATTCTTTATAGAGAGCTATTTTGTTCAAATATGCAATTCCAAAAGAGTCATAGAAATAGAAATTAAAAAAAAAAAAAAATAACTAGGGAACTGGGGAACACTGCAGTGAGGTTGGAAAAGTCATCATATCTTTAAATGAAGCTTAGGAATAAGCAGCAATTGGAATATGTATTTTGCTAGCCTTGATTTCAAGGGATCACAAACACAACCTACGCCCACAGCAGGGGAAGAGGGACTGTTGCACGAATTGTCTAAGCAAAACTGCATCAAAAAAATAAAAAGGCAGTAAATTAGGAAGCTGAACTTACTGAACTTAGATGGCAGTTTAGAGAGCTGGATTCTGCTATCATTTGCTTACTGTAGCATGATCTGATGGTAGGCAGCATTTTTGGAAATGCTGTGTGTATCTGCCTGACTCCAAGGTAAATGCTTGGGCTCTCCCTAGGCTTTTTGCGCAGATTAATGTAACTTAAAAGCCATACATCTTGCCTGCAACAGATTTGTTAAGTGCTAGCATCTTAGCTAAGATGGCTAATACCACTCTTTAGGTATAAAGTTTGGAATTTAAAAGCTAATTTAAACTTCCTGTTCCTTGAGTTATTAAGTACTGGTTTGATTTCAGATGTTGTGCTAAAGATACATCCCACAAACATATCTCAGTATTGAAGGATCTTGGGAAGAAGATGAACTGTACTGATGTGTTATGGGTTTTTGTTTTAAACAAAGAAAATTGTGCCAAGAATGGCAATTTTTTGGTTATTGTTTTGACTGAAACTAGATCTAATGGTAGTAGATATGTTCTGAAGTCAGAAAGATTCCATCATTTATAAACCATTGGTTTATACCTCTGGAGTATTCTGAGCTTTTCAGACCTTTGTGAATGGTTTCATCATACAGAATATTCACATAAACCTTAAGTAGAAAATTTCGTGCCTTGGAAGCTAGTAATGTGCTCTTACGTACTCCTCCATTCTCTTGGAGAATGGGGGCTGAGGCTGCTGATGGGCGTTGGAACTCAGCATGTCCGAGAGCACATGTGCACACCAACCATTTTGTTCTTCAACAAAGCCTGTGCTGTTTTCAGACACTTCATCTTAACACAATACTAGTGTTTAATAAATTGTCTTTGTTTGCGCAAAGCTTTGCCACAGGAAAGCTGCAGAGAATCGTCCAAAGGTAAAATCCAATATTGCTGTAATTACTTAAATACTGTTCCTACTATCATCTAATCCAGTCATTCGTGGTAGCTATTCACACCGTCACAGAAGGAAGGAGACTTGTAATCTGTTGCCTATGAATATAGGCACTGTACAGGGATATAGCTATACCTGTGTGCACTTGATCTGAATCAAAATGTATTTTAGTCAAAAAAAAATAATCAGCTTTAGATAAGTGGGTATACTGAATGAGCTAATGGAAAAAGTAATGGCAATGATGCTAACTAAATAGCTGAATAAAAATAGCCTCTTTGCTTTCGTAGTGCTATTAAAGGTCAGCTACTTAAAAGTACTGTGATTTTGAGGATATAGAACTAGAATAGCATTGTTACAAATCCCATTGGCCTTTTGAAAGTGCAAGCCTAAAAATAGTTGGGGTTGGGGGTGGAATCAACTATCCAATATGGGTGGGAGGTTATTTTTTTTATATGGTGGTTGTAATGAAATTGTTATTTTTCATGTAGATCTTCTGGTGAGTCACTTTTGCCTCATCAGACATGGCAAATTGGTTTTGTTAGGTACATGGTGGTTCTTGCCTAAACCTTAGATAGAAATTGTCAAAAATTGAACATCTGTCCCTAGTCTTGTCTAGGAGTTGTTCAGTCTTGGAAACACAGTATGACAGTCATTTCCCTTTCATGTTCCTCACACTGGTTCAGAAGTAGGTTCAGTGTTATTACCTTGTCAGGAAAGGGTTTGGACATTTTTGTTATATTTTCTTCCATTCAAAAAAAGTGATTTTGGACATGTTTTCCCTGTGTCTCTTTGCCTGTGGCTGCCGAGTTAACATTTTTTAGTATAGGAGGTTTTTGGGTTTTTTTCCTTGCCCCCTACTGTGCATTTAGAAATGGAGATGAACACATGCCCTGATGCTACTAAACTCAGTTGGAAGGGGTACCCGTCAGCTTTAAGTGCTGTTACACAGCAGTTTTAACATGACATGAAAGCTGAGCTTGTGCTTTTTTTTTTTTTCTGAAAAGTGAGGTGAAAGACCTATAGCAGAATGGGTGTGGCAGAAAAGTGTTTAGCGACAATACTGCATTAGTTGCTAAAAAGTGTTAACATGTTAATCTCTTTCTCTCTTTCTCCTCAGAATGAATTGCCAGATAGCCATGCAAAATTCCACGTACTATTCCTTTTCTTTGTGGCAGCCATGTTCTTCATCAGCATATTGTCCCTCTTCAGCTACCACTGCTGGCTAGTTGGCAAAAACAGATCAACCATAGGTCAGTTAATTGGAATGTGGAACTGTTCCTTGTCCAGAAAAGCAACAAGTTGATGAGAACGTGAGGTGTACAGGATATGCCTTCACATATAAACGGAAGTTTTAAATATTGTACAAGAAGAAGTATACTTGGTGAAAGTAATTAAAGGTGAAACATCTGGGAAAATTAAGCATGTGTAGGAGTCCTCTGCTGGTGCCAAGCATTCGGATTCATGATAAATGTTAATTTCTTTTGTTTGTGTTTTTAAGATCTCTGAGGCACTGTGCGTTTTTGTTGTGTTTTTATATAGCGTTAATTATGTAACACAACTGCTACTTGCCAGTAACCCTGTTCTAATACTTTTGGGTAGCTGGGTGGCCCCAACCAAGGTGAAGGCTCTACTGTATATGAGCATGCTACGTTTTGAACTAGATCCAAAGGAGCATTCTTAAATCCTGTGAAATAAAATGGACCTCACTATTAGGAAGTGGCTTGTAAAAGCAGTGCAATAAAAATGGAAACACTGATGCACATTTCCTAAATAATAAAAGAGATTCTCGTAATTTCTATGCCTAAATGTTTTAAATGGCACTGACCAGCATAAGCAAGTTATGTGCATTAGTTAAAATATCTGAAGTTCTTGCTAAAGCGTTTTTTGCAGGGTGGGGGGGATGGGGACTGGTGGATATTTCCACAACTGAGTAAGTCAAAATCTTGTATTTTCAATGGAAGTGAAATTTCTGTCGTCAAAAATAAGTGGGTTGATTAAAAGTGAAATAATTTTCAGCTTGCTAGAATTTTTTGATGGAGGTAAAGGAATTTTTTTGATCGCTTGACAGGAGAGTTGTTCTAAGTTGTTCTTTTGACATATCTACAGCTAGGGAATATTCACATCTTTTTTAGCTTAGAAGAAAATTTTGGCATGTTCCTTGCCCAAAAGTCAGTGGCCATAATTGGCAATACGGTCAGTACTTCATTTACTTTCTGGATCATGATTGTAAAAAGACAAGCTGTTGGTATGGGGAGAGGCCTCTCTGTTCTTGGCCAAGGGTGTAATCAGACTGACCAGAAAAATGGTGGTGGTTTGCTATAGTTGGTAGTGTGTCTGTGTTTCTAATGGAATAGATCTCATTTTTCTCTGATACCACAGGGTGCTCTTAATTTGACTTCAGACTTTGGCAGAAGTGGAAAAACTGTCTGGTATGGGTTTAGGTCCAGTAGTGCTTATGGTTTACTGCTTCTGGAAGAGGAAGTCTTCTGCTCAAAGAAGGCTTCACAGGCCAAAAAAAGAGCTGGCCATCAATGAATAAGGGATACAGTGTCTTTGGCGTGCTGATGGTACTTAGTTCTGTCTCAGACCTCACGTTAAATGTAAAGAGAGAAAAATGACTCTACTGTTTCTGTGACTTTCTTGCCTTTAACTTTTGTTTTTGTCACTAACCCTGTGATTTTTTTTTTATGCTGATTACTTGAGATTACTTTTTTCCTGATAAGACACATCAAGACCAGCTCTGCTTGCCTGACACTGTTTTCACAATAGAGAAGTGTGAGTCTGTTTAATCATCTTCCCTGACTCCTTATCGCTTTAGAGATATTGCGTGTTTTTCTTTTACAGAAACATTCCGTGCACCCACATTTCGAAATGGCCCTGATAAAAATGGCTTTTCTCTGGGATGCAGCAAAAATCTGAGGGAGGTTTTTGGAGATGAAAAGAAGTATTGGCTACTCCCTATCTTTACCAGGTATTCAGTCTGAATGGGAATGAATTGGGGAATAAATTGATTCCATGACTGTCACTTTCCTTCCCCTCCTTCTAAAAAATAAAGCACAACTGAAAAGCCAACTTGTAAGTCATACACGATGAATATTGGT